ACCCCTTGAGCACAGGAAGCGCACCAGTGCCCCGCCTGTGCCAGCGCTGGAGCTATGAGGGGGCTGCAGGCTCTTACCTTCCTCAGCCAGCTCCATGACGTAGGCATCCAGTGTAGACACGGGGAGCGACTCGAAGTGGCTCCAGTACTGGAAGATGGTGAGCTGCTCACCCTGGCTACTCCCAGGGCGCTTGGGCAGCCGCCGGTCCAGCACATCCTCCACAAGCTTCACGCACACTGCAGGGAGAGGGCACCAGGTTAGTACCCCTGGGGCAGCCCGGGCACCTCCCTGGCACAATGCCCCAAGGCCGTCTGGGTTGGCACCAAAACGGCCCCCTCCAGCAGGTTGGTACTTTGCCACCACTGGCATTTCCTGGAGGGGCGGGACAGGCTGGCCAAAGCAGACGACTGGGAGGCAGGACTCCTGGGTTCTTTTCTCGGCTCTCAGAGTCACTCTGTGCCCGGGTGGGGGAGCCAGAGAAGGCCAATTGGAGCTGAGCCATTGCCCAGAGCTCTCAGCCCATCCAGGCAGTGCGGGGTGCCCCAAGACTGCACTCACCTGAGTCTGCCAGGCCCGGCTGCCGCTCAGCCACGGGTGCTGCATACTGGGCACTGAGCGTGCGCAGGAACCGCTCCACGGGGCAGGTGTACACATTGGGCTGCTCCACGCAGCGGTCCCAGAAGGCCAGCACCCCCTCCTTCCGGGTGGAGAACTGCACCACTGTGGGCAGAGACACGGTCAGGGCCATCCGCGCCCAGCACGGGGCACGCTGCTGGCACTGCCAGCATAGGGGCAGGCTTCGCTCGCCATCACCGGGACTGCGTCAGGGAGCCCAGCACAGACCCCAGTGGCGAGCCCCAGCCCTCTGACCCCAGCACACACTCTGGCAGGCAGTACTCCGTGGTGCCCGTCCGTGGGCTTGGGATGGGCGCTGTGCCAGGACCTTTACCTTCCGCTGCAACGTTGGCCACTCCCGATTTCTCCTCCGTCAGCTGGCAGACAATCTCCAGCACCTGCGCTTCCCTCATCAGCTTGTCCAGGGCGTACATCTCCCGGCACCGCAGCGGCCCAAATGTGCCCAATTTCTGCAAGTCACAGACATGTCAGCGCTTGGGGGCAGGATCAGTGCCTGGGGGTGCCTGCACACTCCCAGCGTGCCCGTCTACCTTCAGAGCTGGGGGCAGCAGCTGTCACGGCTCGTGCCAGCCCGCAGCATCCCTCGGTGTTGGCCAAGGGGGAGTCTGTGCTTGGGCTGGCTGGTGCCACCCCACCAGGCACTTCAGAGGTTGCCAGCCTGGCGCCCCGCCGGCCCCCCACTCTGCAGGAGCCTTCAGCAAGGCCACAGCCCCGCGTGCCAGCAGATGCCCCCCGCCACACGGCTTCCCATTCCGCACACTCACCAGCAGCAGGCGGTTGCAGTTACTGAGGTGCAGCACCACGGCCCTGTCCAGGAACTCATTGCCGGTGCTCATGGGGTCAGAGCTGCCCTCAGAGCCGCTGCACGTGCCGGTGTCCTCGGCCGTCGCCTCGCAGCCTCCCAATGCCCCGCCCGCAGCACGAGCCCCGCCAGCCCTCCTGCAGGAACGGGGGGGACACGTAAACACACGCCCACAAAGCAAGGGAACCCCCCCCACCTCAGCCACAGGCGCCAACTGTCCTGCCCCGAGGAACAGCCTCCAGCTCCCAGGGCTGGGGGTTAAATCCTTCCAGTTCTGCTGCAGGTGAACTTGCAACAAAGGAAGAAAAAAAGAGCCATGGTTTACGTAGGACCTCCCTACTGAGCACCCTGCTGCTGCTGAGCCCGCAGACAACACGCACGCTCATCCCCACCCCCAACGGCCCCAGTGCTCCGAGACGCGCAGGCACAGCTGTGGGGCAGCAGGCCCCTCTGTGCATGGAGGGGCAGGTGGGGCACTCCAGGGGCTGGGTGCTCACCCCCAGCACCCGCTGCCGCCCTGCGAGCACAGAACCCAGGAG